AATATGAACCCAAAGCATTCGATCATACAAAGAAAGACAATAAAGGAGATAATGACCGAATGGAAAGAAAATGACAAGATGTTACCCTTGATGAACCTTGGATCTAGATACAACTTGATGGAGTCCTCCCTTCCATGGTTGATAATGGTGTGTTGAAGAGGGTCACCTTGCCCATGATCTAGGCTCACCAAAGGGGAAAAGAAATGTGGACGTTAGGGTGAAGGATGGTTTTGGACGTAAAGATGATGAAGGGTGTAGGTGAGGTGTATGGATGCTCAAGTAGGTTGGCTCATTCCAAGTGAAAGGTGGAGGCCACTCTAGGGTTTCACTCTCCAAGGGTGGAGAATGGAGGTGGTTAGCCGAAGTTAACCTAGGGACTAAGGATAGGATTTGAGGCAAATAAATGCTCTCTCAAATTCATATAATCCAAAGTATTTACATGATGCATAGCCTAGGGTATTTATAGGAAGGGGAGGCATCTAGGGTTGCATTTGGAGAATGCATGGCCGAAATTCACAAGCCAAATGCACTCCAAATGAAATGCAAGTTAACCCTAGATGCAACTTGGTGGCCAAGGATGGAATCTTTGGGTTTAGTTAGGTTAGATTTAGGTGCACGATAAGACCATGCAACCTTTGCCCTCCACTTGGGCCTAAGCCTTTCTAACACCAAAAATAGGTCCAAGAACTCCAAAAAATGCGTCACCTCCTAATTTAAAACCCTAGCCCAAAATTAAAAACCTATGATCTAAAGCACTGCAATACAAGGGTAAAATGGAAAATACAAAAGAAAATAAATCCTATGACTAAAATACCCCAAAATACATGGGTAAAATTGGAAATACAAGTAAAATAGATCCTATGTCTAAGATACCCCAAAATACAAGGGTAAAAATGGAAAATCAAAGACAAGCACAAATTAGGCATAAAAATAAATTCTAGGCTTCCAAAGCTTAGGAGAGTGATTAGTGTATTTAATCTTGAGAAGCATGTCTTCTAGGGTTTTGACTTCCCTATCCTCTTATAGGGTCCCACATGAAGCTCCATGGATGGTCCTCCATCAATAGTTTAAATATTTTTTCCCCTTTACTTTGTTTGTTTTACTTGTTTGGCTTTGATATTTATTGTTTGTTTAAATTCTTGCACTTGTTTGAAATAAACAACTGTACACAAACCATAACACACAACAGTTCCCTCTACACCCGAGGGCACGAGTGTATAAACATAGGGAGTGGTTGATGTATGAATGGCCCAAGTATGGCCTTGGAGCCTGCGAGCCTTGTCAAAAATCACACTCAAGGTGATAACCGGTTACTTTGACTTGAAATATTGTGACAGACCTTAAAGTTTGCCAGGTGACAATGATAGAGGTACTGGGTCCCTATAATGGGGGTACCATGGGAGCCTTAAAGACCAGTGATTTTAGAACCGTCCTATACAACATACTTTTCTTTGACAGGGACCTCAAACCAAGGATTTGAACGTGACTATTCATGGGTGTACATTTGTTCGAGCATATGTGTGTTGCATTTGTTGTGTATTTACGTTCACTTCAAATAGATACGAATTATAAGCAAACAAACAGATATTAATAAAAAAACAAGAAGAAAAAAAACCCTTCTGTATACCCTAATCCTAAAAGCATCATATAGAATAGTTTATTTAAAAAAAAACAAAAAAAAGATATAGCAAAAAAAGAAATCATACATCATAACCTTTAGTTAAAAAAAATGATAAAATTTAGGTAGAAAATAAATATCATGCATCTCCTAGGATAGTACACTAGTATACATCCATTAGAAATGGAAGGCACATATAATAGTATGCAAAGATCTTTGGGAAAGGAGAACATTCTAAACTACAAGAGTCGTCAGTCCATGTCCTCGAATACTAGGAAGGCTAGCCAAACTTTGGGACTATCATCATTCTTTCGGTAGAAGGCAAGGTCTACATCTTCTTGGACTTCTTCCAACCTAGAAAGATGCCATGCTCAAAATAGATTGGAGTCATTCAGGATTTCAAAAGGAGGTATACCAAATAATCGAAGCCACCAAAAAAAAAAAAAAAACTCTGCCCGAGAATGAGAAATCATAAGCTCAAAGAGTTGAAGAAATTAATGTCAAGCACTCCTTATCCCTCTGACTCGTTATCAAATCACTCGTAACCGCATCTTTCTTCTCCAACTCATCGACCTCTCTAAAATAGTGATGAACCTAAAGACCCTATTTTATTGACTGTTAACTCTGATGGGGATAGTAAGATAAAGAAGACCCCATTTCATTGATTGTTAATTCTGACGGGAATAGTAAGAGTGAAGAAGAATCTGAGAAGAAACGAAGACTGAAAATTGCAAGTCAACAAATGAGACGCGTGTCTATAGAGATATCAATCAAGCATGAGTTTCTCTAGCTTGCTATGACATCATCAAAGTGCATCGAAAGATCTTGTACAAAGAATGTGTTGCAGGTTGCATCAATTGTCCCGTGGCGGAGGCTAGGTGGGCCAAGTCACTGTCGAATCATGGCGCTTGGGCTGCTACGCTCTTAAGTAGAAAGAGTTGCACCCTGACTATCAGCTATAGCTTTTGGCCTAGTGGAAAGCCCTCGATCCAAAAATTGGTATCAGAGCCAAGGTCATGAGTTTGATACCCAGCGGGGCAATTGCTGAGGGGGAGATTGTTGCAGATTGTTGCAGGTTGCATCAATTGTCCCATGGAAGAGGTTAGGTGGGCCAAGTCACTGTCAAATCATGGCGCTTGGGCTGCTACGCTCTTAAGTAGAAAGAGTTGCGCCCTGACTATTAGCTATAGCTTTTGGACTAGTGGAAAGCGCTCAATCCAAAAGAATGTTCTCTAAACAAACAAATCAATGAGAATGATATTTGTAGAATTTCTCAATTACCTTTGCATCCTATTTTGCACTTCATATAGATAACATGCCTTCCTTTTAAATAATAAATAAAAATTAAAAGGGAAACCTAATCTGTGCGTGTTAATCAAATCACTGGTAATCAAATGCGAACCTGACACATCAAGTCGGGGAACACTTAACTTAAAACCAATAATTGGGGGGCATACATCCTTTCCTGAGGGACAACAAGGTTGGTTTGGTGTCATAAAAAACAAGGTACGAAATATAATTCAATCATTAGGAAATGATAAATTTGAAACAAATGTTGCTTACCAAGATGATGATCTACAACAAATGCCTTTAGTTGTTTCAAATGATGATTTTCAACAAAGTCTTGTTGATAGTATGGGCATAGCAGGGGAAGTTCCAAATGACATAGAAGAAGAAGAAGAAGAAGACATACAATTGCATAGCTATGATATCTCCTAGATTTTTTAATTTCAATATTCTCATAAATATCTATTTTTGTCCCTTGAGAACTGGAACCAAACCAGTCACATTTAAATAAAACCAACTTTTTGTTAGGTCACCCAGTGTACTCCAATTCACAAATATCAATTAACACTCCATAATAATCATTTTCCATTACTTCATATTGGCCTCCTCGCACACAAACATGATGGTTTGTTGTACTCAATCCCTCATTTTGGGATTTAGTTACAAACTTGTATCCATTGATAGCACAATTAGGCCATTTTGTGACTTTTCTAATAGGGCCCCATGCCAAACTCCTTAAAAGCACATCATCAACTGCATTATCAGGGTTAAGCACCTACATTTGATACTTTGTTAGTCAAAGCCAATAAAGTAAGGTACCTTGTTTGAAATAAAATAATCATTTCACGTACATGTGTTTTAAACCAAGTAGAAAAGTTCATGGAAATTTCCTTGTCTAGGTTGGCTTCATTTATCTCAGGGTTCAATTCCCGTAACAAATGTGAGTACATACTGCATATCCAAGATTAGGATTTAATCATTTTTAAGTCTGATTTAAATTTATCACACGATGTTTATATTAAATATACTTACTTTAAGTAAAGAACCATCTCTGGACAATTTAAAAGCACATACAAATGTGCAACTTCCATTTCTTTCTCTTCCAAGGTAGAATTGATACGTTTCCCAAAAAGACAACATGAATAATTAAAAATTGACAATGGAGGATATGAAGAAGATTGTTCACCGTCATCATTTCATGACACTCTTGTTCTCCTTGATGGAATATGGGAAGGATAATAATATGATGCAAATGTCGACATCTCCTCAAGTAAATATGCTTTACAAATTGAGCCTTCCACATAAGCTTAGTTTGTAACTTTCTTTTTTAACGATCCTATAAACCTATGAAAAAAGTAAGTCTTAAAATTCAAGCAAAAAAAAAATAAGCATGTTGTAATAGATTTAATATTAATAATAACTAACTTTTCAAATGGATACATCCATCTATATTGAACAGGGCCACCAACTCTTGCTTCATATGCTAAATGAATTGGTAGATGTTCCATTGAGTCAAAAAAAACTTGGAGGGAATATTAGGGAATATTTGTTCTAGTTTGCACATTATGATTGGAATTTTATCTTGTAACACACACAACTTCTCTTCTGAAAGCAGGGACGAAGTAATTTCTCTAAAGAATTGACTAAACTCAGTAAGAGTGTTCCATATTGGCTTAGGCAACACTTTGAATGCTAGTGAAAGCAAACGTTGCATAAACACATGACAATCATGACTTTTCATGCCAAATAACTTTGCTTCCCTCAAGTCAACACACCTACTCAAATTGGAAGCATAACCATCTAGAAGCTTGAGACTTATAACCCATTGACAAATAGCTAGTCTTTGTTGTTTGGTTAATGTATATTGTGCCTTTGGCTTTACAAGGTTCCCAGTCCTGCCGACATGTAGTTCTAAACCTCTATGCTTACAATGAACTTCCAAGTCCTTTCTAGATTTGATAGTATCCTTTGTTTTTCCTTTGGTATCCATGACTGTGAACAAAATATTGAAAAATACGTTTCTCTCAATGTGCATCACATCAAGATTATGTCGAAGAAGATTTGTCTTCCAATATGGTAATTTCCAAAAAATACTTCATTTTGTCCAATTGTGCCCTTTCCCATAGCCTGATGGATTTTGTTCTTGCGATTCTTCAATACTTGGTAGATGTTGAACCCTTTCCCATATTTCTTGACCACTCAACCTTCGTGGAGGAGTTAGAACCTCAACTTTGCCTTTTGTAAATGAAGTCTTATTCCTTCTATATGGATGATCTTGTGGTAAGAATCGACGATGGCAATCAAACCATGATGTCTTTTTACTACATGCAAGGCTAAACCCTCTATTATTTTCCATACAAATTGGGCAAGCAAGTCTTCCCATTGTCATCCAACCACTTAACATCCCATAGGCTGGAAAATCATTGATCGTCCACATCAAAGCTGCTCTCATCAAAAAATTTTGCTTCAAGGACACATCATAAGTCATAACTCCATCATCCCATAGCATTTTTAATTCATCTATAAGGGGGCGCAAGTACACATCAACTTTATTCTTTGGGTTGGATGGCCCAGGAATTATAATGGTTAAGAACATGAACTCTCTTCTCATACACAACCACGACGGCAAATTATAAGGAGTAACAATTACAGGCCAACAAGAATAAGTCCTACCAGTTTTGTCAAATGGAGCAAAGCCATCAGCACACAACCCTAATCGAACATTTCGAGGCTCTTGAGCAAAATCAGGCCATGTTTCATCAAAGTGTCTCCAAGCTTCTGCATCTGAGGGATGAGACAAAGAACTAGGTTCTCTTTGATGAGTATGATGCCATTTCATTTCATGAGCTGTTTGCATTGAAGAATACAATCGTTTCAACCTAGGAACAAGAGGGAAGTACCACATACTTTTAAGTGGCACTACTTTGTCCTTACCTCGTCTTGTAAAACGTTTATATCGCTGCCTTTGACAAACTTTACAATTTTGGAGCATCTCATTTTCCTTGTAGTACAACATACATCCACTTGGACAACAATCAATTTTCATACTTCCTAACCCCAATTCAGCAACTGTTTTCTTTGCTTGGTAAATATTTTTAGGAAAACGATTGTCATCTGGCATTATATCCCCCATAAATTGCATCCATTCATTAAAACATCCTTCGGATAAACCATAGTCTGTTTTCAAAGTTAAAGCTCTTAAAGAAGCAGACAAAACAGAATATTTATCACAACCATCCCATAAAGGAGATTGTGCATCCTTTAACATTTGAAAGAATTTTTGTGCCTCTACGTTTGGATCTTCCATCATTATGTTGTTGTTGTCATCATCATGTTGGTCAAGGTGGGTGCCAATTTCTGGTCCAGCAGCATCCATGACCAATTGTTGATAATTATCAAACATTTCCCTAGGCCCATTACTAGCATAGTATGATTGATCTGCAACCATAGGAGGAATTGGGGGTATTGGTTCACCATGATTTGTCCAATGATAATAGTTAGCCATGAATCCTTTCTTGCAAAGATGCACCCTTACTAAGTTAGGTGTTTCATATCTCCTACACTTACATTTCTTACAAGGGCACCTAATCTTCCCTTGTCCAATATCATGTTCATCGTGTTCCAAAGCAAAATTCACAAATTCATTGGTTGCTAGATCCTCAAAACTAGTACAAGATCGGTAAAGGTTGCTAGATCCTCAAAACTAGTACAAGATCGGTAAGGGTTGCTAGAACCCCAAAACTAGTACAAGATCGGTAAGGGTTGCTTGATGCCCAAAACTAGTACAAGATCAGTAAGGGTTGCTAGATCCCCAAAACTAGTACAAGATCAGTAAAGGTTCCTAGATCCTCAAAACTATTACAAGATCGATAAAGGTTGCTAGATCCTCAAAATTAGTACAAGATCGGTAAAGGTTGCTAGATCCTCAAAACTAGTACAAGATCGGTAAGGGTTGCTAGACCCCAAAACTAGCATTGGGCCGGCTGAAGCCCTAAATATTAGTCCAGCTTGGAGAGGTTGAGCTCAGAATATACTCCATCTTCAACAAGCTACAAATAAAAGAACACGCTACCATGAACAAGCAGAAGTAGTAAGAAGCATCTGCATCAAGCCAGAAGCCTAGATGGTACAAGTTTACCATCCTTGTCACCCAATGGAGCATACAATCGAACATTCAGTTGCTATAAGGGCAAGAATACAAGTAAACACCATCTACCCGAAGGAAACAATGTGGGGGCATCTACACTATTGAAGTGAAAGGGAAGATTCAGACACATCAACAAAAGAAGCGACATGGAACTTTCACATGGATCCCGAAGCCTAGATGGTATAAGTTTATCATCCTTGACACCCAACGGGGCGTACAAACCAACATTTAATTTCCCCAAAGGGCAAGGATACCGGTAAACACCATCTACCCGAAGGAAACAATGTGGAGGCCTCTAATGTCAAAACAAGAGAGAAGACCCATATCTCCACCTCACTATCACAAGAGAAGCAAAATGGCATGGAGCTTCTACTTGAAGACTGAAGATCAGGGGTACAGTTTGTCACCCTTGTTACCTGATAGAGTATGCAACCCAATGCTCAACTACTCTAAAAGGCAATGATATAGGCAAATCCACCTATCCAAGGGAAGCAACATGGAAGCCCTGGCACAAAGAGACGAAGAGAAGACCCAGACAAAATGTCTACATCTTTACTTGCCTTTGGAAAAGCAACACATAGTTATTCCAAAGGACAAGTAAAGAGGGGCAGTTGTGAATACCTAATTTTATTGGGACCTATTAACAAAGAAATGAACATCGAGCATGAAGACAAGGAGTCCCCGAAAGCCCATAAACGACACAACAAAACATCAAGAGACCCAAAGCCCAATTAGGTTGAACTAGGAGCCCGGAACGGGCCATTCCTAAGCCAGAACGGGTCATTTCCAAGCTAGAACAGGTCATTCCAATCTCATCAAAAGGGATTGAAACCCTAGGTCAAAAAGGGCCATTCCCAATCTAGAACAGGTCATTCTGAAACAGGTTGTTACAAGTAAAATTCAAACCCGAAATGGACCGTTCCCTTTTTTAGAAAATTTTACGCTGGGAAACGTCTTGGTTATGATAATATCTCTCTCTAAAGACCTAATTTTGCATGATCCGACCGTTGAAGTTAAAGATAAATTTATTAAGAAGAAATCATCAAATTTTTAGGATGATCTAACGGTTATTTATTTCTCTTGAGGCCTTGCATTGCAATTGGAAAATATGTGTCTTATACCAGAAAACATTTTTATTATGATAGTATCTCTCACTACAGGCCTAGTTTTAACGATCCAACCATTGAAATTGAAGATTAATATATTGTGAGCATACCATAAAAAATCCAGCACGATTTGACAATTAACAAATTGTCTAGAGGTCCTGCATGGTGCCTAGGAAAAGATTGTATTTTTATAAAATTTAGTCCCACATCGGATAGCTCTCTTATGCTTTTGTCTCCTAGTTAGCTATATAAGAAACCATTTGGCCAAGGGACAAAGGAAAAGAAAAAGAGTTGCATAGCTTCCCCCTTTCTATGTAACCCTTTGAGTGATAATGATGTTTTTGTAGAGCGAAGGGCTGCCAAAACGCGCCCGCACACATTTGTGAAGATTCCTTTATAAAAAGCTTGCTTCACAAGTTATAAATTCTTCTCTTTTATTTATTCAATTTATTATTTTTATTTTATTTATTATTTATTATTTTATTTCTTTTTATTTATGTTATTTATAATTCTTATATACAATAAATAATCATGTAGATAATAGGTATTTTTTTTACATGTAAATATCATTAAATAATAAAAGAGGATAAAATATTTAAAATTTTATTTATTATTATGTTAATTTCATCATAAGGGTACCAATTTAGGGTGCTATAGGGGTGCTAATACCTTTCCTACACGTAACCGACCCCCGAACCCAATTTTTTTTTGTTAAGGTCATTATTGGATTTTTTTGAAAACCTTTTCTTTTTCCAATGTTTTGAGTAAAACATTGGTGGCGACTCCATGAACTCATTTTTAAAACCAATAATTAAGGATTAGTCTGGTCTCTGAGCATTCCCTAATTGATGAGATTTTTCAAAAAGGTAGTTTAAACCATTGGTCGTGAGATCAAAATTTTTTGGGTTACGACAAGGCTCAATCAAAAATTGAGTCACCCTTGATCAGAAATTGAGCCAAGCTCGATCAGAAATTGAGCCAGGCTCGGTCAGAAATTGAGTCACCCTTGGTTAGAGATTGATCCAGGCTCGGTCAGAATTTGAGTGACCCTTAATTTGAAATTGAGCAAAGCTCAGCCAGAAATTAAGTCATGCTCAGTCAGAAATTGAGCCAGCCTCGGTCAGAAATTGAGCCAACCTTGGTCAGAAATTGAGCCACGCTTGGTCAAAAATTGAGCCAGCCTCGGTTAGAAATTTAGTCACGCTCAGTCCAAAATTGAGCTAACCTTGGTTAGAAATTGAGTTATGCTCGATCATAAATTGAGCCACGCTTGATCAAAAATTGAGCCTAGCTCGGTCAGAAATTGATTCACGAACCACTAGAAATTGAGCCAAGGCTGGTCAGAAATTAAGTCATCACCCACCAGATTTGCACCACGACCCACCGTGACTGACCACTATGCACCAACTATGAACCATTCACATCTTTTTAGCACTTCTTGGATCAAACATCTCTTATAATATGCCTAAATATGCTGTGAAGGTTTTGGGGTGAAAGACCTTCATCCTCTATTTTTACGAATTTTCCAATTTTATCATGTTTTGGTAAAAAAATCATTAAAATTCAATCCCTTGGACAATGGTTGAGATTTTTGGAGGACAGGTCAGTTATATTATTATGTGGGTGCATGCAAAAAATCATATCAGAACTAGATGGTTAGATACATTTTTCTATTTTTCTACATTTACGTATTTTTGTCTCTTTAAAATATTATTAAAAAATATTCCCTTGGAAAAAAAATTCTCAAATTTGGTCACCACAACTATATGATTTTTATAAACAATCCTGAAAAAAATTAGATCAAAATTTGATTTGTAGCACCCAAAAGGGACTTATGTCTGCAAAAAAAGAAGGTATCTACTTGTACAAAATTTACTTGCTCTCTTCCTCCAAGACTTCTCCAAGTTCTCCTTATTCTTGGTGATCTCCGGCCACCCATGCTTAGGCATGGTAGACAACCTCCCTTGTACATGGCCATGTGTGGCCAATATAAATTCTTCTCTTTTATTTATTCAATTTATTATTTTTATTTTATTTATTATTTATTATTTTATTTCTTTTTATTTATGTTATTTATAATTCTTATATACAATAAATAATCATGTAGATAATAGGTATTTTTTTTACATGTAAATATCATTAAATAATAAAAGAGGATAAAATATTTAAAATTTTATTTATTATTATGTTAATTTCATCATAAGGGTACCAATTTAGGGTGCTATAGGGGTGCTAATACCTTTCCTACACGTAACCGACCCCCGAACCCAATTTTTTTTTGTTAAGGTCATTATTGGATTTTTTTGAAAACCTTTTCTTTTTCCAATGTTTTGAGTAAAACATTGGTGGCGACTCCATGAACTCATTTTTAAAACCAATAATTAAGGATTAGTCTGGTCTCTGAGCATTCCCTAATTGATGAGATTTTTCAAAAAGGTAGTTTAAACCATTGGTCGTGAGATCAAAATTTTTTGGGTTACGACAAGGCTCAATCAAAAATTGAGTCACCCTTGATCAGAAATTGAGCCAAGCTCGATCAGAAATTGAGCCAGGCTCGGTCAGAAATTGAGTCACCCTTGGTTAGAGATTGATCCAGGCTCGGTCAGAATTTGAGTGACCCTTAATTTGAAATTGAGCAAAGCTCAGCCAGAAATTAAGTCATGCTCAGTCAGAAATTGAGCCAGCCTCGGTCAGAAATTGAGCCAACCTTGGTCAGAAATTGAGCCACGCTTGGTCAAAAATTGAGCCAGCCTCGGTTAGAAATTTAGTCACGCTCAGTCCAAAATTGAGCTAACCTTGGTTAGAAATTGAGTTATGCTCGATCATAAATTGAGCCACGCTTGATCAAAAATTGAGCCTAGCTCGGTCAGAAATTGATTCACGAACCACTAGAAATTGAGCCAAGGCTGGTCAGAAATTAAGTCATCACCCACCAGATTTGCACCACGACCCACCGTGACTGACCACTATGCACCAACTATGAACCATTCACATCTTTTTAGCACTTCTTGGATCAAACATCTCTTATAATATGCCTAAATATGCTGTGAAGGTTTTGGGGTGAAAGACCTTCATCCTCTATTTTTACGAATTTTCCAATTTTATCATGTTTTGGTAAAAAAATCATTAAAATTCAATCCCTTGGACAATGGTTGAGATTTTTGGAGGACAGGTCAGTTATATTATTATGTGGGTGCATGCAAAAAATCATATCAGAACTAGATGGTTAGATACATTTTTCTATTTTTCTAC